TTCCTATTTTATATATATAGATTACATTTATGGGGTTTTTGAGTCCTTTTTAATTCAGCTTATAGTAAGCTAATAATAGTGAGAAACCTTTTGTACATTATTACCTTGCTGGAAATGTTGTGCTTTGGTGGAAACCCCGATCACTGGTAATAAATTTAGTCCATATTTAATTATTATTATTTTGTGACAAATTTCAATATATAAATTAATGATTATTTACTTATCTCTGATTTAACAAACCTTATTAGAATATGTTTCCTCAACTGTTTCTAGCTGCTCTGTCAGTACAAATAAAAGTTAAGTTAGTATCAAAAAAGACTATCATAATGAAAAGTCGTATATGCATTTCACCCAATACCAAAACTCAACAGGCTATCTCTGGGATATCACAGACATGGTAGTTGTTTAGATGCTATTTATATTAGCAAACTGCTGGTAATGACTGCTACTATGCAAACTGGATTAAATTGGTGAAGTGTAATAGTACACGTGTAGTATGTAGAGGAATATTCATTTTTCTAATTTTTTTTTATCATGATAGAGCTGTTGTAGACCAACATTTAAAGTGTAACTTTATTTTCTACTAATCCAAGGCTGACCACAACACTGGATGTTCAAAGGACACTTGAGTATTTAGCATATCTTGGGTACATTTATAGTCCAGATGACAATCAACTGTCAGCAATCCATGGTAAGCAGTAGTGTTTCTCATTTCAAAGTATTCTGTAGTGTTTTAGATTTTTTTTTCTAAAGAACTAAACTCTTAGTTTAGGCTTAATGATAGTTATTAACAAAGAGTTTGTACTAGAATTATTTTCTGGTTGAATTCTAAGTAGTTCTGATAGTGAAAACCAACAACTTTGACACTTCCCTGAGTAAAATCAACAGTAGTTTAGTTTGATATGTTTTGAAAAACCTTCTGTCTATGAGCATTATCCTAATATCACTAATACATTCTTTAATTTTAAAATGAAACTTAATTTTTTTTGCACAGAAATGATACTTTTTTCTTTTATGAGAAACGTTACATTCTCTTTTCATATTCAACTACACGTACACAAAATACGTGATCTCACATTAGACACTTTCTGTTTATCTGTTTTAAGATGCTAACCTTACTGTTCTCACTAACTGTGGTTTCAGTATCCACTAAAGTGCTTTACTAGATGAAATATGCCTGTTACCTGGAATCATGTAGGAGGAGTTTAGAAACATTTTGCCATTTAGGAGCACTTTGCAGAAGGGGATGTGATAGCTTCAGTGTTTACTAAAGAATTTACCTGGATAGAACATACTTGTTACCCGAGACTGTGATGGGGGGGGGGGGTATACCTCAACAGAAAATGTCTGCTAAGGTCACCATTGTTTAGGGAGATATGGTGATTTCTCATGTCTCTAAGAAGCTAAATGTGTGATTAATCTAATAGTTTAAATATGTTTTAAAATATGTTTTTCTTCACTCAGTATTTGGTGTCAAACTTTGCCTTCTCAAGCCTCAGTCTGCTCTCAAAACTTATGTAAAAATACTGCTGATTGATTTATTTACAGTTACTCGAGAAAAGAAAGTTGACCTTCAGAAGAGACAGACTGGTAGAAATGTTTTTCAGTGTCATGTAATTGGACCACAAGGTGCAGGAAAGGTAGTAAACTACTTAAAACTATCTATTTTAGATTTATAGTTGTTTTTCTATTGTAGGAAAAGTCCTTTTATGTACTGTTACATATAAGCCTACCTGTCTCGTAAGCTAGATTTTGTTCCAGAACAGTCTATAAAGATAAATAGTTTGAGAGTATCATTTAATCCAAGAAGAAGATATAATGCTAAGTCATACTCTTCACCTTTTTTATAATTTTTTGCTGATCGGTTGAAGTTTTTTCCTTTTTGACCATTGCCAGGAAGTTCTTGTGTAGTAATGTAGATCAACTTGACAAACAATCTACTTATGGTATAAAACTGGATTATGTTGTTCTTTCTACTTTTCTGACATATGACATTTATGATTGATCAAAATATCTAGTCATTGTCAAAGGAGCTTAGGTTAAGATCATAAGTATCCTTAAAAAATAAATTTGACTATCCCCCGTGATGGTATCAAACTGCTTATATTTTGGTTTCAATGAACGTAGGAAAATATGCACTTGAGGTAAAAAGCTGAAAAACAAGTTGTAGTGAAAATTATCAGTATAGAAGTCAGAGTCAAAGAAATTGAAAGGTTGAAAAACATTTTTTTTTATGGACTTGGCTTTAAAAAACTGTGGACTATCTGATAGTTATCAGAAACTGGAAATATATTAAATTTTTTGGTAATCTGTTGAAAATTCAAAATGCTTCAAACCTACCCAGACACACACACGGGCTCCACCTGGACTTGGCTAAGAGCCATTAGCTCTCTTTTTTTTTCTATTACCTAACTCTTACAAGCTAGAAAAAGAAACTTTTAGCACATAATTAATGAATTTCTCTATGCAACATAAAATGCTTCAGTAACCAAACTGAAATATTATTTTGGAAAGTATGCTAATTGTGACTTTCATGTGCACAAACTTAGTTCTTAGCTCCATCATGTCTGGACTGATTTGAGATCCAATTACAGTTTTGGACTCGAGATGTCAAACCCCTTCAATTGATGTATTTGACCTTGCCAAAGATCTAATAAATTAATTTACTCTAATCCTGGTTAAAAGAATTTTAATTTGAAGGTAGGCTGGTAGAGATTCTGATGAATAATAAAATTGAATCTGGTATATGAGTGCCCCACACTTGGTATTGCTGGCACACAAAAATATAGGTAACAAAAAAGAAAAAAAAGTCTCAGATTAATTTACTCCAATCCTGCCTAAAAGAATCTCAGGTGCTGTGGCTATTGAGGATTCCCTCTTGTTTGACTTGTACCCCTATCTTCTTATGGATCATTTCTCCCCTAACAAATTTTGCTATCTGAGGACCACCTTGAAGCTCTAGTAGTTGCAACATTCACTAAAGTTTGTCTTCGTTTTTTTTTAATTGAATAATTGTGTAACCTTATTTCCACTTTTATCTTAGAAGGCTGTGTTCAAAATGTTTTCTGTTTATATGTAACCTTATTATTTTTAAAGAATACACTTCACATGCTTCACCAAATGCCCTTTGTGGATGGAAAACTGTTCATATTTTAGTGTTCATTGAACTTTATTATATTCTTTCATTCAATGTTGTACTCTCATAAGTAGCATTTTACATTTATGTGAGACTGTGACTCTTTTGACAAGAGTCATCAGAATTTCTTTAGTTCAGACTTTCTGTGAATTGGTTGTGTAGTGAAATCTTTGTACTTTTTGAAGCATTATCATTGAAAACCTGCAGCTCAATATGTAATATACTTTTTGGCATCTCTCAGATTGTTTATCCAGCATAAAAGGTTAATACAGTGTACTAGTGTTATGTATTTAAACACCCTCCCCTATTTCTGATTTTCATAACATTCTGTGTAAGAATATAGAATATGTAGAAAGTTTTATCTTGTCCTGTATAGTAGCTCTTTATGTTGTAGCTACCAAATATTCTTAGCCTTTTTTTCTTTTATTAAATTACAGTCTTAGGTGTATTATTTCTTAAACTTGTCAGTTTTGATGTATATTTGAAAATATGTTGATTTGGTGTACATTGTGATAGAGATGGTAATCTTTTCAGATATTTTGTGTTTATACCGTTTTAGTGGTTAACATTATGTTGACTAGTATGGTTTGATACTTTTGTTTCTTTTTTGATGTAGACCACATTCATGCAAGGTTTCTTAGGCAAAACATTAGACCAACAAGAAAACCTGAACAAGGCTCACCTTTCACGTTATACCATCAACTCTGTGCAAGTATACGGCCAGGAAAAATATTTACTGGTATGTTGTAATTTTGTGTGGGTCTGTCTAGTTTTTGTTCCTTTGTTTAATATATAACCTGCTATTTTTTTTTTTATAACAGAGACCTTCCATGGTTGAAAATTGTAATATTTGACAGATGAAATCACTAAGTTTTATTGGTATTTATTGCAGAAAGTATCTTCTTAATGATATTAATATACACAATGAAACATGCTATCTTCCTAATGATGCTGATAATCACAGTGAAACATGCTGATAGTATCTCCTTAATGATGCTGATGAACACTGTGAAACATGCTGAAAGTATCTTTCTAATGATGCTGATAAACACTGTGAAACATGCTGAAAGTATCTTTCTAATGATGCTGATAAACACTGTGAAACATGCTGAAAGTATCTTTCTAATGATGCTGATAAACACTGTGAAACATGCTGATAGTATCTTCTTAATGATGCTGATAAACACTGTGAAACATGCTAAAAGTATCTTCCTAATGATGCTGATAAACACCATGAAACATGCTGATAGTATCTTCTTAATTATGCTGATAAACACTGTGAAACATGCTAAAAGTATCTTCCTAATGATGCTGATAAACACCATGAAACATGCTGGTTTGATATATATTTTATAACAATAGTTTTTTGAAAGCTTTACAAACATTATTACATTATTTGGACCTAAAAGTTTAATCCTTTGGGACTACCATTTTATTGTAATTTAGCAATGTATGAAATGCTGTATTAAAACACTGTCACATACATGTTCTTTAAGTAAGTCCCCTTTTTACTGTTTGGTTATTAACTGTACTGACACACGTGTAATTTTATCATGCATATATAACAAAACTAAATGTAAATGTTTGTTACAAGGTTTAACACTTTATGGCTGTTCTGAGGCAACCTTTCACATCACTGATCTGTGCTATACTTTCATGGATTTGTTGTGTTTTAAATATTTATAAAAATTATAATTGAATTGCTGTTTTCAGTGACTGTCTGTAGAGTTTGTTGCACCTGAACATGACTTGGGGTTCACAGAAATTATAAAAGCCATTAAAAATCTAAAGTAATTTGTTCAACAGGCAGGTGATGTTGAGAGGTTAAAAATGTTTTGAAACAAATTTTTAACATGATTTGTGATTTTTATGTTTGTGAAATTTCTGCTTTTTTCAATTTATCTCTTAAAACTTTTCAAACAAGTTCAATGTATGTCTGGGGCAGTTAAACCGAAGATAGTTCCTTCAAATTTTTCTTTGTTGTGCTTACAGAAAGTAAAAATGTTTTTCTTAATATCACAGTTACATGAGAGTAAAGTTCCCTTTCTTTATATTACAGTTATGAGATTAAAGACCCCTTTCTCTATTTTACATTTACTTGAAATTAAAGACCCCTTTCTTTATCTTAGTTACTTGAAATTACAAACCCCTTTCTTTGTCTTAGTTATTTGAAATTAAAGACCCCCTTTCTTTGTCTTACAGTTACTTGAAATTAAAAATCCCTTTATCTTACAGTTACTTGAAATTAAAGACCCCTTTATCTTACAGTTACTTGAAATTAAAGACCCCTTTCTTTGTCTTACAGTTACTTGAAATTAAAGACCCCTTTCTTTGTCTTACAGTTACTTGAAATTAAAGACCCCTTTATCTTACAGTTACTTGAAATTAAAAACCCCTTTATCTTACAGTTACTTGAAATTAAAGACCCCTTTCTTTGTCTTACAGTTACTTGAAATTAAAGACCCCTTTCTCTATCTAACAGTTACATGAGATTAAGGACCCCTTTCTTTATCTTACAGTTACATGAGATTGACATATTTGGAATCAATGACACTCTCACTCCACCAGAACTACAGTGTGATGTTGTGTGCTTAATGTATGATGCTAGCCATTCAAGATCATTTGAATACATAGCTAGGATATATTTAGTAAGTATTCAAATTTATTTGAGCATTGTTACTTTTTCTAGCTAGGCTGTATTTAGTGTTCACATATTTCATGAAATACCAACTAAAGAAATCATAAAACTCATACAAAGCTAAATTTACAATAAACAGATAATGAGCTCATTGATCATCTTATGAGTTATTTTATGATTTCGCTTTTACTAACCAGTTAAGTATGAACTGAGACAGTGTATTCAACAGGTCATAGCTGGAGTAAATAAAATCTTTTTTTCTGCACACACACACACAAAAACTTCCAAAACCTTTAACAAAGCATATTAAAAATTAACTAACTACTAGTTAGTTACCTCCACTACAGCTACATATTTTTAGTTTTACTTATTAGTAATTGCATAAATTAGGCCTAAACTCTTAATACGAAATCAATCTATTTTATCAGAAATTTTTCATTTAAAAAAGTATATATATATATTAAGTAGTCCTATTAAACTATACTAAGTAATATAGTTACAATATTTACAAAATAGATCATCTCACACTATATAATTACTGAAACTGAACTACAGAATTAGGAAAACGAACACACGAGAACTTCCTCACGCCGTATACGAACTCTTGGCACCGGTTACGGGGTTTAAGCTCATAACAACGAAAGTATCTGGAATGTTTTTTTTTTGTTGTGATTGGTAGAAGTGGTGTTAAATATTCCTCTGATTGCTAGACACTGTTTTAATATTATGTTTGTCTTCCGTAGAACACTGGATAGTTTTAATGTCACTTGATAGATAATGTATGTGTCCTATTTACTGATGGATTGTGTTTGTGATGTTTAGTAGCTAATGTGATTGTTTTAACATGACATTTGTTAAATTTTCATATTTGTTTTTAAATAAATGCGCACATGCTAGTGTGATATGATTGAATACTAAGTTTAGGTATTTATATTTATTAATAAAGTCTTGTCCTATTAAATGGTTGATAGTTCTGTATTATTTTTATATGGTTAATTGATGAGGAGATTGTTTTCATGTGATTGACTGCTAGTGTGTTTTTATTATTGCTAAGTATTCTTTTATGTGAAATACGACAATTAATATATCACCAAACTTCAATATCATTATATATCATCAACATATTTTTCACCCACATGAATAAAGTAATTTCCAATTTTGCCAGGAATGTTTGCAAAATGCAAAACACAAGCTTTTCTATTGCTTAAGAAACCTAAAAGATGTCTTTTTCTTGCAGAAATATTTCAGTGACAGTAGGGTACCAGTGTTGATTGTAGCTGCAAAAAGCGACCAGGAGCCTATTAGACAAGAATATCTTCTACAGCCTAGCCAGTTCTGCTCAAAACATAAACTTCCTCCTCCCCAGCACTTTTCAGCCAAAAATGGAATAAAGAAAGAAGTGTTTGTCAAACTGGCTACAATGTCTGCATACCCGTAAGTATGTCTCTTAGAGTTATTCACATATATATAAATACCAAACGAGATGAAATTTAAGCCGATCCACTCGCTTAAAACTTCTGATATTTTAATGTAATATTACTCAGTATAGAAAAATGTGTTTCATCTATTTAAAGTTTAAGAAACACTTTATTATGCAAAATTAAATATTTGTTGTTAAATATGCTTATCAAAAAGCTGGCATAAAAATCTGAACAGCTATTCCCTCTGTTTTGACATTTTAAGTATTAAAAAAAAAGGTCGTGCACACACTTGATTTGTATTGCATAGAGACACAAATAATCATTACTGAATATTCTATTTTGTTGTAGTTCAGTAAGTTAATTAAAGCTGGTATTATTAACAGTTTCAGTTTATTTGTAACTAAATTCATAAATTTCAAAGTTTTCAGTTATTTGTAACTAAATTTATGGCCCTCATTCACATAAAGTTTCATTATTGGATTGTGGGTGGAAATTCAGACCTTGATGCCAGAGATTTTTTTTTTCTCATTCAATGATTTAAACTAATTAAAAACACATTTGAATGACCATGTAATAGTTCATACATAAAATGCAGTTCAACCGTACTTCTAACTATCCTGTTCTTATTCAGGGCTTGAAATTACTGTACAAATTATTGAAAAACTAACGATTGCCTGTATCTGGACCAATTAAGTATTCATTAATATGGACTTCTGAGTGAAGGTTAATCACACTATATCTGCTACATTCAGTACCGAGGAAGCCTTTTGTCTAATAACATGGCTCATCAGATCAGCTGGGATATGACAAACAACAGTAGTGGTTAAGGCACAATTTATATTAGCAACAATTGCTAGACAACAACTGTTACAGTGTAAACTGGATTAATGTTAGTTATGTCATAGCATATCAGAATTGGGGTAAATATTTTTAACACTATATTACTTATTTCTTTTAACACCACATATTAATAATTATTATTTTCTGGATGTTTGTTCTTTAGGTCCAACTTGTTCTGCATCTTAACTGTTTTTGTGAATCAACTGTTTTACAGTGTTAAAATTGACCCCGTGTGATCAATAGACATTACTGGAACTCACTTAGTCATCTAAAGTTAGTAATACAATATGGATAAATGTAATATTATTAACTTGCAAGAAGCAGGTGCACAAACATTAATCTTCAGTTCTGGGTGACATTTGTACAATTTAGCTTAAGTGTTGTTTTAAGAGCATCTCTTTTTCTTCATGGTTAATTAGCTTGAAATATTTAGTGAATGAGGAAAGCAAGGTCTATATCAGTTCTGATATTTATTAAGTATTAGAAAAATAAACAATTTGAATTAAAATCCAACAAAGACAAAGAATTTCAGTTAGATTTGATTACTTGTTTTCTACAGTAGTGTTTCAAGAAGAACGTTCTTTCACACATGTAGAACTACAAGTTTAAAACAAAAGAGCATAATATTGTGTCCATGTTTAAGGCTTTAACCCTATGTTTATGCGTGTGGGTCAAAGTGCTCATGCCACAACTTTTTACAAAGTGACATTTAACGAGGTATTATGTGTTTCATCCCAGAATTATCAACTGTTCATTTCACCCTAAATTGCTGATTTAGTGACAGTTCGTGGTAGAGGAGATTAAGTACCAGATACAGTATATAGAAATACTGAATAAAACTGTGGATATATATTTCTAGAAGTTATGCAAATGGAATATGCAAACTTTATTATAACTTTAAACTTATACTTTAGTGTTAACACTATAGAGCTATATCATTCACCAGTTAGTTATACTTTAGTGTTACCACTATAGAGCTATATCATTCACCAGATAGTTATACTTTACAGTGTTACCACTAGAGAGCTATATCATTCACCAGTTAGTTATACTTTACAGTGTTACCACTACAGATCTATATCATTCACCAGTTAGTTATACTTTACAGTGTTACCACTACAGATCTATATCATTCACCAGATAGTTATACTTTACAGTGTTACCACTACAGATCTATATCATTCACCAGATAGTTATACTTTAGTGTTACCACTACAGAGCTATATCATTCACCAGATAGTTATACTTTAGTGTTACCACTACAGAGCTATATCATTCACCAGATAGTTATACTTTAAGTGTTACCACTAGAGAGCTATAGCGATTTATGGAGTTTTATAAAATTGACAAGTAGTTCTATCTGAATGGAAGGTGGTTAATCCTTTTGGGGCAATATATGCTGGTCGAAGAGAAAAGAAAAATTACATAACTTTCGTGAAATTTCTTTCAAAAATAAAACTAATGGATAAAATTGTTTGAAATTTGACAAGAACATTCCTAAAGTATGTAGTTTCAGAAAAATAACATTTTCAATTTTTATTTTTTCTACTATTTCTAATAATTTGTTATTTCATGTAGTTATTTGCACCCGTACTCTGAATAGTTCACGTCCAAAGTGATTTTTATATGAAGTACAAAAATACTATTTTTCATCTTACAATTTTCGCATTTCATTTCCATAATCTCTAGAACCTCATAAATACCGAGTTTTTTAAGGTAAATATTTATATTTTCTCTACTATGTCACTAACTATCTATTATCATCAACATACAGTACAATGAAATGTTTAAAATTAACAGATAGAAGTATGTACGTACCTTTCAACTCTTTGTAGAAATCCACAAGAATAGCCATCTTTTTCACCTGCGTAATTTCACATCCTAATCTTTTCACTTCGTTTATTTTTACTTTTACTTTCAAATTCATTGTCTTTATGTATATCGATATATCAAGTGATGCCAGCGGGCCTTTATGAAGTTATTTCAGCAGCCCCCATGCAGAGGCGCGTTGCCTGAACAAGATGCCGCTTGTACACGCCATCTTCTAAAAACTTCTAAAAAAATCATTAAACTGTTTAAGTATGATTTTTAAAACACAAATAATACATAATTAACTAAAATATAAAAGTAAGACCTAAATACAGTTTACTATCTCTCTAACTATAGCATATTTAGGTAAGAAACTACTGCTCATCAATTTCAAATTAACCATTGGTGGAGGATAATGTAAACTGAGCTCTTTCTAATGACTATATACACTTGTGTCAACTAACTACATGGATGTTAAAATGGCACGTAGATCTATGTTGTTCATGTACATAGCAGGATTATGAGTTTACACTCATCTCCTGCTTAGGTGGAGATTTTTCATAAAGCGTGGTTCATGTGACATGAGAACTATTTTTGTAAACATTTCTTTTGAAATAAAACTTAGATAACATGAAAATTCAAATTTTAACATACATTGTAATGATAATTTCATTAACATGTATGAATAGTAAAGTTGTTTAATTAAATTTTGAATGTAACTCAGTAATGCACATATATAGAAAATAATTTTAAAATGACGTCATCCTGATAGGGTTAAGTCATCAGAAATTTGAAATTACCAATACTTGCAAAACAGTAAATTCATTTGAACAGTTATCGTTAAGCACTTTTTCTGATGTTAGCAACTTAACATCACGTGGTGAACTATTAGGTTGTTGCAGCTGTTGTTTTGTTAGTTTTAAAATGTTTGAAATTTATTGATGACCAAATGGAAATAGTGTTTTGTAATAGGTTTTTCATTAGATTCTTTTGGATTGAGAGATTACTAAAAGACTTGTTAAGGATCAGATGTTTGCTGAGCAAACATAACTTCAAATTTTAAAACTTCAGTTGCAAAAGGCATTGTATACAACAACAAAAAACTTCTGATATTCCATCACTGTCATGATTGTAAGTTTGTTATACTTAAGATATGAAATCTAAACATACAGAGCTCAAACTTGCTAACAGTTTTGAAACATTAATCAGTAAACAACTTTCAATCCTCTAAAGACTAACTTTCACTTTCTAAAGTTTTCTTGTTTGGGGAAATCTCGATTATATTTTAGAATATTCTAGATGAAATTGGATGAACATGTTGTATGTTTTATTACAAACAAAAACTTGTGTATATAAATATTGTATCATAATACTTTGTAAGAGCGTACATAAGTAACAAAGTTTGAAGATGGCTTGAATGGGTGGTAAAGAAAATTTTATCCTAAGTTTAACATTGTAACAAATGTATAACATTTTGATAAGGATTTTTACCTGATGATGACAAAACTTTGTACATTTGGTATTGTGTTAAACTTCTAAGAGTTTTATTCAAACCATTGTTTCAGAATGGATTCTTGTCATCATAAATAATTCCAGTTTATATTCCATAAAAGTATCATAATATACGTAAGCTTATATCCATATATATAGCTTTAAAAGCTAATAGTAGAACGTGTAATTAAAAGGGGAACTAAAAATTTGTCTCAATAACCATAACTTCAAGATAGAATCTGTTTAGATTATCAGACAAATAGGATCTTGTGGAAGAGAAAAATTAATATGACAGATTAGATAGAGCCATTCAGGTTATTACAAACTTGGTAATAATGTTAGGAAGCAGTGGGAACCATGAGTTTTATGACACTATCATTATGATGTTTAGTAACTTCAAGCCCTGATAATTAGAAGAAGCTTAAATATATTTTAGTTTGAATCTACCCGTGTGTATAGGTGAGTACAGATTTTGTGTATTGAAAATTCTGTAAATACAGAGGACTATTTCATGTGTGTGTATTTCTTAAGGCATTAAAGGAGTTGTTAGGCAATAAACTACGTAACTTTTGTGCACATTTTTATGAAATTGATGTGTTTATTGGGCAAATGTCACTAAAGGTTGTATTTAATATGGTATGTATCAGCTTTGGCTATTTAATCTGTATTTTATTCATACAGATAGAACAAACACTTAATTCACCTTGCATCAGATTTAATGCAAGGATTATTGCATTATATTACTGAAATATTCGTGACATGTTCATATATTTCGAGGACTGTGACTTGGTATGAGAGATTATTAACTTAATTTTTAAAAGATTCTTAAAATTTTCACTGTTATTGTGCGGCATATCCGTTCAGTTCTATTTACATTGTTTTTACCTTGACCTGGTTTTCACACGCACAGCATATCCATGTAATTTTAAAACTTTTGATTATATTTTTTAAGATAATCGACTTGCTATAAGCATGCATAATTATCCAATTTGAACCTAGCAAGTTTTTTATTTACCAGGTTCAGTTACTGATGAACAGTTTTTGTTTCTCAGTCTCTTTAAAGCAGCCTGGAAGTTATTCTATCACCACACCAGGTGTGTACCTAGAACAGTGTTCATGTACAACAGATTTTAGTAAGACTTATTGGCTGAGCTAGAAAATATTTTTGTTTGGCCTTTCCTGGCTTTCGAGGATAAGACAACCGGTATGTTTGGAAGGGAGGTCAAAATTAACATTTTATATTATAAAAAATATGTATATCTTCTATATTTGTTTAATAAGAAACAAATCAACCAAAAATTTAAATTTGTGTGTTTCAGAAATCTGTCACTTTCTTAATGCCTGAAGAAAAACCAGAATTACACGACTAAAATGGTCGTTAAAATTGTTTAACTTTCATTATTGTTTTTGAGAAATTAGCATTTGTTCTAATTGGCAGCTTAAAAAAAAAATATCCAAATTTTTATAATATAAAACAAGTCTATGTAGAAACAAAATGGAGGATTACATTCCAAACTACATAATGGCTGTCATTTTTACGTTGCCTTGGCTATTCAAAATTAATAATGTGTGTTTTCTGTGTAATATCAGAATATTTATGTGATACTGTAGTCAGGAAAGGAAAAACAGCCATATTTTTATGTTTGGCTCATAAAGGTTGGTACAAATATTTTGTTTCTTACAATCTTTTGTTCCTAACTTGGCCTGCTGGGTTTGTAGGAGTCTGCGGCGCTTGGTCCACGTCTTGCTTCTCAGACCAACACCCACCTGGCTCACCGAGCACCTCAGGTTGGCTATGTGCAGGTTTTTTATTCGATGTATCATTTTCTTATTAACAACATATGAGGAATGTTAATATGCTTATCCTGCATGCAGTGGCTATAGTTTTTTTTCTTGGCTTGCTTGTGTTTTTTTTCTGCATGTTAAGAGCAAGGTCTTTGCTTTCATTTTTCTATTCACCTCATTTCTTTTATTGCCAAAATTAAACCAAATATTTGTTTTTATAGAACATAGTAATTATTTGTTTAAAGCACAATATAGTTTTGTAGTGTTATTCTTAACAATAGCTTAGAAAAGTAATTGTGAACTGTGCAATACTGTTTGTGTTTTTAAAAGTTGATGTAAAAACCATACTTCCTACAGTTTACCAGTGAATTAATTCTCATCTTCTAAGTCCTGTGAATGTGTTTCTTAAAAGTTCTATAATAAAAATAAGCAGATATGTGCACAGTTGTTAACTAAAATATTTATGAAAATGTTAATTTGTTTTTTAAGTCATTAGCTTTGATTAGCTAATCATATTGGGACTATTTCCAAACATACTGTTTTTAAATAAGAAAAACATATTGAGACTTCAAGTAAACATTAGTATACTTGTTGACACACACCAGAGTAAATTAATTGAGATACATGATTTGTGTTGGTTTATTCCAGATATATATTTTAAATGTAAGTGTCCAGAAATGTTTTACCATTTGTAGTCACAAGGAATGTTGACAGTGGTTATTTTTGAGAACAAAGAATTGTTTCAATATTTTAAACTGAGTTTAATACCATTATGGATATTGAAGTTATTGTATTATATGGTTTTTTTTCACATTAGAATCAGCTGGTCTAAGACTGTTGGCTTAGAAGAAATTTTTCTTCTTCTGTTAGTTCTAATCTTTGTCAGGAAGGTGAATCTTAGTTACAACTGAAGATAGTTTTCACCAAATGCTTGTTACCGAGTTGAATGCACTCATTGCTTCTTCTGGAAAACCCCCGAGTTTTCAAATAGTTTGTGGCCTGTTTCAAAAAATCTCATGATATTTTTCCCCCCCAGCAAACCTTGTTTTCGTATGTCATCTGTAAAAATTATGAAACTTTATAGCCAATTACATATGATCAAAAACAGTGTTTTTCACATACTAGCAGTTCTGCAAATACAGTACTAGAAAACAGATGGTAAGAAGACCATTTCCAGTACATAGTATAGGTGTGTTGATGGTATAAAATAATCAATCTGTTGAAAGTTGTGATACCTCCAACCAAACTGTGTTTTTAACCACAACTGAATAGACATATTTGAAGTAGCAAGCATTTTATATAACAGCTAGATATAACCAAGTTGATTAATTATTTTTATGAAAAAAAAATTAGTTGGTTTAGGATGATTTTAGCTTTTGCTTTACTATGCCAGTAATGAGCAATTTATGTGTGTGTGTGTAGCTTTGGTTTGCAGCAAATTGTATTATAACAGAGACATAGTGCAAATCAATTACATATTTAGTGAAAAACAGCAATAAAAACAAATATTGTGAATTATACAACAATTTACACATATATAAAAAAACTGTAGTTTTTTTTTACTGAATTGTTTTATTCTTGGTAACACAACACACTTCATCTATTGTTTTTGGATACTTTTACAGTTTTTATATCAAAAACTTCTTACAGATTTCAATAATAATAAAAATGCTGTTCTCTTTTGGTAAATGTAATTTTTCCTTTCCTTCAGACAAATCAGCCAAGTATCATTTTCATCAGATTCAACTGTTTGGCTGAAAGCTGGACTTGGGATGGCAGCCTTAGCTCTAGTAGGAGTTTTTATAGTAAAAGTGTTGAAAAGCAATCCAGAAAAAAGGTCAGTAGAACTGGAGATATTTGATTGAAACGTCACCTAAGGCACATGTTTAAGAAAACGGTGACATAGAATTACTTATGCAAAAATGAGCCCTAACTTCAAAATATCGTATACACATTTAAAATGAGAATTTTGTTTTGTGAAGGCTGATTTTAAATTATTTTTAATGTATACACATAAAAAAATAAATGTAAAATGGGAGTTATAAAAGAATAAAAAAACAACTCCTTGATATAGCACAGTCATGCTCTATTTTTTTTTCTTCATGTGTGTATCATTTTCAATTTTGTCCTAAGAGAAACTTAACAATAAAAAATATCATTCAGTGATCAGGTGGAGAATTGTAAACATTTTCCATATTTAGTTCCTAATGGAGTTACTGAATATATATAGGGGGTGTGATGTCTTTCATTTGGACCTACATAGTATTCACTTACAATAAATCATTATCTTCATTAACTTTAAAATTTAAACAGCTGTTCAGCTGCTATGAGCAATGTGATTTAAGATGGTTGATATATATATATATATATTACATTTTGTGAATTAAAATAAAAAATGTCCTTGCCAGATAATTATGACTAATTTTTTGAGCATACATGCCCTGAAACATAGTTTCAGTTTCATGCAGTCCGTGCTTGGATATTTGAAACTCATGTCATAGTTTTATTAATATAAATATGTGGACAAACGTAATAGGGATGTCACACAAAAGTTTTAAAATGTGATTCCCGAACTTAAATATTTGCAGAAGCTTCTTTTATTTTTTGGAAAATCATTTTCAAGAAAAGTAACTGAAGTTTTTGTTTCTAAAAATAGTAGTATCCTTTATTTACTATATCGTTATTCTAATCTACAACAGATTTGATAAGTTTTGAGATAGTAGTTAATACAACTGGCCCAAGTTCATGAAACCATTTCGTCTATAATTACCATTCAAAACACACTCATTGTAAACAATACTAATAAACCTGTAAGTAATTAATCATGAAACCATTTCGTCTAACCATTCAAAACACACTCATTGTAAACAATACTAATAAACCTGTAAGTAATTAATGTTCATTAAAAAAAAAAACTTTTCAATGGTTCTTTGGTTTTGAGAGTTTTTATTTAATTATCACAGAGTGTCAGACATGGGACTTTTATCTCTCTTTCCATTTGTTTTCAACAGGTAGCTAGAACAGGTGGTTAAAGCTCTTGTGACATGTTAATTTGTAAGGCCCTCTTCACCTGTCCAAGGATTGAAAGCTGAAAGTGCAAGTTTGGACTGTCTAGTTGTCACCATGAAATGGACGAGGACTGTTGTATGAAGTGTGCTTCTGTTTTGTAGATAGTGGCAATCCTGTACATATCTTTAGAACTGTCATTAAATTAACGATTATTTTTGCATATTGCCAATAGACTTGTTCATAGTTGGCCTGCTAGAAGACGGTGCCTCACACGTGAGGAAGTTAACATTTTAGTATTGGTTTTGATTATTCATTCTAGTTGATGCCAGTCCTGGCCACATCAAAGATCCTGAACTGTACGTATCTATGTATGAATTTTAATAAGAATTACAGTTATAGTTAGATCTAAAAACAGATGGTTCAGTATAGCAACATTTCATACTTACACCTTATTAAATTTCAGAAGTCCTTCAAAGATGTGGAAATAATTGAATTGTTTTGATTTTAAAACCATCAATATGACCTGTGGAGATTGCAGGCAGTCATGCACCTTCCTTGTTTGAATTTTCTTGTCAGTGTTTCTAAATTTTAATATTAGCAATGTCCAATATAATGTTGTATGTTAGAAGAGAAACAGTCATCATCAGTGGGATAAAGTCAACGTCTTACCTGTCTCAGATTCCCTCTAATTGTGGATAGTTAGCCCTAATTTCAGTCTTGCCAGTGGTCATACCTAACTGTATGTTCGTATAATACCGTTCCACCCTTTTTCTTAGCTGCTGGGTAAAACTTATAAAGGTCAGGTAACTAAAAAAGCTAACTAATGCTTAAAGAAATGCTGTTATAGTATCTCTAGTCTTTCCAAAATTTACATTTCGTTTTTCAAACCATCTCTGCATCATTTAAGATTAATCTGATTGTTCAGTGAATTTTTTGTTTTCAAAAGATTACATCAAAAGTTTATTTCCCTTATATATCATAGTTAATTATTTTGGTTTTACATCTTTGTCATATTAAACAAACTACCTAGAGCAAAATTTGTAATTATTCAAAATGACATGTTTAATAAACTTCTCAAGAATCTTCGATACAGTTTTTATCTTCCCATCGTTAAGTTAGCCTTTCAGCTACAAGTATAGTTTATGGCGACATCGTTATTTGTAATTGCCAAAATATAGCTTTTTTTTTAATAAGCTTAGATTACACTAAGAAATTTCCTTCAACTGTCGGAAGTTTACTAGAAACCACTGCCCAAATCACTAAAACTACCCTGTATGTGGTTCTGATCATCCATCTCCCTATGGCTTCAGAGTTTTTTATAGATAATAATTAGGCCAGGGCATTTGTTTTGTAATTGAAGAATGACTCGTACTATTTCAATAGTAAAATAGTTTAGCCTGTAAACACAGTTTATAGAACTGCAAAATGTATTTAAGTAGCCCAGTTCTTTGTATTCCTGCTGCGCTATTTATATCAATTGCTGATTAGAATAGAGACAGATAAATGTAACAGCTCATAGATCGTGCTAATCACAATTTTTTGTTGTAAAGCTACGAGCATTGGTAATCAATATTGATTTATGTTCTACTCCAGCAGTGCCTTTCAACAAGTGTGACACCTAAGGACCATCCACACAAGTTTTGAAAGACAAAAAACTATAGGACAACAAAATGTGGGCTAGTCAGAAAGTTTAATCTGATATTATTATTATTATATACCTTTTTTAGAAGGTTCAACAGTCAGACAAATCCAATGTTGTAGTCTTTCAAAATCATCTGTCGCACACTTTAGACTTTAAGGGTTGGATACAACCTGTTTTACATGATACTGTGTAATTTTAATTCGATGACCAGGAACCCACTTTGAGACGGCTTGAATGGGTAATGAAGAAAAACTTTAATATAACAGCAAATGTACAATGTTTCGACAAGGTTCTGTACATTTGCTGTTATGTTAAAGTTTTTCTTCATTACCCGTTCAAGCCGTCTCCAACCATTACTGTGTAATTTTATTTGGAAATATCTTCAAGGATTACTTTTAACAATTCCTACAATTTGTAATTTCCGTTATGTAAGTGGCAACAATGTAGAATAGGGCTTTTATCCTATATTTATGTTATAATTACATAGAAGAATAAGGAAGATTTTAACCTATGAATAATGTTTTGTAGTAGCCATTCTTTGTACCTCACCAACTTTAAGTCTAGTACAAGGAGTGCTCACATCTGTATATCAACATTTTATAAATATATATGGTAACAGTATATACATTTGTGGGAATATTTCTTAGGGCTCTTCTGTACTTATAATGAATTATCTTGAAATGTGGTTAGCCGTGTGTGTCTGACTGACTACGTGATAATATTAATATCTTTTATTAAAGAAAGTAATGGTAAATTACAGAAAAAAAAACATTTTTTGCAACTGTTGCTTGAGTGAGTTTAAAATGTAAATCAACAAAAGTAGAATTTGACTTTGAACAGTTTTGTTTGAGTTTGTCGTCTCACATGACAAGGTATTCTCTGTATGGTTATTCCATTTTGAAATTAAGCATAACATTTCAAACATATTAGAGGTACTTTTTCTTCTTTTATTCTATTGTTAATGGTAATCCTAATAATAAAGTATTTCTTTTGTAGAAACAGAAATAATAAAGACTTTTTGCTTAGATTTGTATATGTGATGTACTTTTTGTTCATGTGTTGGTATAATTGATTGAAATTTGGACAGTGTGGAGAACCAAAACCTTTTCAACGTAACTTTGTCTCACTGGTACCTTTCAAAAACAATGGTTTTGAGGATACTAACATTACCTGCACGTATGTCAAGTAATGAACGATATTCAGGTGTGACCAAAGTTTCTAAAAGTGATCTTACAGAGTTGTTGTTCATATCAGACACACACATGCTCTTCTTATCTGCAGTATAGACAGTAATAAAATAAACTTTGGATCACAGTTCCATCTACTGAATACTAATTCAATGTTATATTAAATTACCATTTTATGAACAGTTGCCTTGTTAACCAAATACAACTGTTTATGCTGTATTTAAGACAAGATGAATAACTGCATAAAAAGAAAAGACCACAAAACATATGCTCCCCAGTAAGCTTTATCAAATCTAAATACAACACTTAAGATTAGAAACACTTCACTCGAATTTGTAAGTTCCTCATATGCAAGCCTTACAAACCAGTACTTCAGTACAAAGACATAGTTTAATATCCAAGAACTTTTAATTTTATCAAAATTCTACCAATTACTGCTACATAACCACAACAGTAGTCAGTGTATGCTACTTTAAAATGAAGTTTTTTCCCTTTACTCCAATGACATGTACTTTAATGAGAGCACAGTATCAACTCATCACATATTCTCTCTTTGTGTATGCACAGTTTTAAACTATTCAATTAGTGCAGTCCTATTGTCTATGCCAATTTTTTTAAGCATCCCCAAAACATTGTATAGGAATGAAGTTTCAGGTTTTGAAAAGTAAATAGAAGTGATTATAAAAAAATTTTTATTTGATGTAGTTGAATTTTACGAGAAACTTGTTTGATCAGTCTATTTTAGAAAAACATTATTCATGTATGGCTGTTCGAAGACTTAAACCTGATACTAAAATAACCAATCTTTTATAAAGAATTACAGAAATACATTTTGTTTAATTATATAATACCCCCCCCCCTAAGGTTTTAGCTTGAGAAGTTTATCATATATTAATGTTTCAATTCAAACCTAAAGAGCTTGGTTAGTAGCATTATGAACAAACTAAAAGCATATACTAGTTAAAATCATAAATAATATTCAACATTAAACTGGTACACAATTAAAAACATTTTATTTAGGCCTATCTAGAGCCTTCAAAAAGTTGATGACTCTACAGACTCTACATGTTTCGACGTTACAACGTCATCCTCAGCATGTAACGACAAAACATGTTAAGTCGTCAACTTTTTGAAGGCCATAGATAGGCCTAAATAAAATGTTTTAATTGTATACCAGTTTAACATTGAATATTATTTATGATTTTAACTTTATACGCAAGTGCCAAAATATTATAACCATATACTAGTTGTAACTTAATGACAATGAGCTAAAATGTTTGGTTAAGGTGTTTCATTTAATTAATATAACTGAACACCTAGTGTTATTCACATTTGCTAAGAATCAATCACAACTTTCATACATCAAAATTCAAGATGCTGCGAGTCTGAAATCAGCTCTAAATTTAATGGCATACCATAATTGGATTCATGGACACCCCATTAGCTACAAAATCTTCGACTCCTTATTTTCTTCTTGCCGGTTTGTTCAACAATAATTGTAGAGACAGAATCCAGTATATAATACATCAAAAATAACTAATGCCACACCAGGTTTTTTATTATTCCTATTTTCTGAGAAAAAATGCTACTTACAATGTACAGACTTTAAACTAATAAAATTATATATCTTGTAGTGTAGGGGACTGACGATCTTTCTTGATGGACGAGTGAATTCTCTTCTGACGTAACCTCATCGAAGATGCCCGATCTTGTCTGTGATGGGAAACAGATTTGTTAATTTTTAATTATAACTTGATAATTATTTCATCTTAGTTTTACATTTATTATTCATAATAACATCACATAATTCTAAAATGAAATTCTTTTTAAGCTTATGATTACAAAAGAAAAAATACAACTAAACAACTTCTGATCTACGTAAAATAATATAGAACAATTCTATGACGTTGCTTAATTCTAAGAATCATCCATGTTTATAGTTATGGTACGTAATAAACTCATTTAACAACACTCGTATATGTTATGTTAATATAGTAAATTTAATATTTCAGAAAATCAGATAATTCTTTATCTACTACTGCCAAAAATGTTTCACAAGATCATACAGGAATTCGTCACAACAACTTGTCAAATCCTCTATTACAATGTGTGATAATTAATGGGTTACTGTAAAGTTCTAATAGTTTCACCATGTGCTTTACCAATTTTGAGAAAATAAAAAAAGCTTCCAATGAATACATATACCCTTTCTTTATTGTTGCCTCTCTGATGTTCTGTTTAGAAACTATGTTTTAATAAATAATAAAAAAGTTTAGAAGAAAAGCAACCCATGAAAAATTATTAGAATCTACTCCAATTCCTTTTGATCAGGCTTATCAACTACAAAACTGAAAAATTTTATTTTAACATATGAAAATATGAATGTCATCAACCTTTCCTTTTGCCAGATGTTAATTGAAATGGTCACTATAATGGCATCAACCAAAGATGTGGTAACATTAAGAATCATTTGACCGAAGCAAAGTAACATATTTATTTAAATGATAATTATATCTTAAATTTATTTATCTTTATTCCAATTACCAACATTGATACTATTTAACTATTAGTTTTAATATTTATTCTAATTTTTTTTAAGTAAATTAAGTAGCACTAATATAGCTCCGGGTAAAATTGTCATATCACCACACTAAGACAGTACTAACTTGAACCATTAAAAGAACATAGTGTGAACTTTTGGTTTGGTTTGAATTTCGTGCAAAGCTACACGAGGGCCATTTCCACTAGCCATCCCTAATTTAGCAATGAAAGACCAGAGGGATGGCAGCTAGTCATCATCACCCACTGCCAACTCTTGGGCTACTCTTTTACCAATGAAAAGTGGGATTGACTGTCACATTATAATGCCCCAACAGCTGGACGGGTGAGCATGTTTGGTGGGATGTGGAAATCGAACCCACGACCCTCAGATCGTCAAGCACCCTAACCACCTGGCCGTGTAGCGTGAACTTTCATTACATGTATATATTTGAAGTATATCCTATTATGTTATCTTCATCCTTTTTTCTTTTTAATTTTTCTTAATTTAAGTAGGAATCTAAATATAGCTTCAAAGCTCAATTATTAAATTTACAACAGACATTCTTTGCCAAACAATAGTTTCTACAAAGTGTATTTTATACCAGGGTATTACAATTTCATTTTAAATGTGAAAAACTGAAAAGTACCAGTGTGGGCCTACACCACTATCATGGATTATTGCCAAACAATGTACAAAATAATATTAAACATCAACTCAATGCTTACTGTAGAAGAAAAAGTTACATCAAAAGAATATTCCTTAACATAAGTCATAGCATATGGTAGCAAAGCCATCAAAATTCATGACTAATCAATATTTTGAAAAGACAACTTCAACTAATTTACACATCTCTGCATTGGTTAAGAAGACACGTTTATAAATTTGTCCTGAAAGATGTAGGTTTATAAAGAGTAATATCTTTATTTGTATTTTTTAAGAAGAGTATACAACTCCAACATATAACAAGAACTGGTGGTCTTCTAAACAGCTCATTTGCTGAATTGGTGGTCTTCTAAACAGCCTACCATGGTAGCCTATTTATCGATCTAGTAGTCTTTAAACAGCCATACCATGGTAGCCTATTTACTAAACTGGCGGTCTTCTAAATAGCCTACCAATGGTAGCCTATTTACCGATCTAGTGGTCTTCTAAATAGCCCTACCATGGTAGCCTATTTACTAAACTGGTGGTCTTCTATACAACCTACTATGGTAGCCTATTTACTAAGCTGGTGTTCTTTAAACAGCCTACCAATGGTACCCTATTTACTAAGCTGGTGTTCTTTAAACAGCCTACCAATGGTACCCTATTTACTAAGCTGGTGTTCTTTAAACAGCCTACCACAGTAGCCTATTTACTGAAATAGTGTTCTAAATGGCTTTTAAATGTCCAAGCTTCAAGGAAACAATTAAGTATACTGTACCACCCACACTAAGCCTACCCTTCTTACCTAGCTTTCAACATTTGCCGTGTTTCTGGAAGCACTTCTGGTGGTGGTCTGGAGGCTTCTCGAATCATACATCTAATTTTGTCCATACAGTCAGCCAGATTTAAAGTTTGTGTACGAGTCTTGTCCGAATTGACCATAAAATATCCCTCCTTGTTGATGCTGGTCTTGTACTGAAAAGAAAATGAAATAGTGTTTTATGAACATTTATATGGTAAATTATGTTCATATTCAAGTTACCTTCTGATTTCTATGCTTAACTAAGAGAGAAAAAGAACACTTAAAAAACTCCCAAGGTCTTGTCTTTTAGTTTACTATACTCAACAACCCGTTTTGTTATTACATTTTTTTTATAAAAACAAAGAAACACAACTGTACCATAACATAGCGTGCACACAAACACTTTTACAATAACATACACAAACAGCTCGGATTCTGAAGTAAATTTGTAGTCAAAATAAGGTGATTAATATTAAAGTGTTGTACTACTTATACATAGAGTAACAATCATGCTGCATTATAAATATTATAAATACAAAAAAAATTAAAAAAAACACAGAGTAGCAAACGTTGCTTTACATACAGTATCAATACAAAAAAATTCAAAACTATTCATTACAGACAACAAAAATTATGCATTATGTATAATACCAATAAAAACAGTCAAAAATCCATTGATTACAGTGTAGCAAACATTTGATAACCAATAGTATTAATACAAAAAAAATTATAAATTGATTACAGAGTAGCAAACATTCCATTATGAATATTATCATTACAAAAAAAATCCATTTATTACACTGAGTAGCAAACATTAAATTATGAATATCAACAATAAAAGAAATTCAAAAATCTGTTCATTACACAGAGAAGTAAACATATTATGAAGAGTAGCGAACATTGCATTATATATAACATCAATACAAAAACTACAAAAGCACATTGATTACAGAAAACCAAAAATATTCCGTTATAAATAGTATCAATACAACAAAACACAAAAATCCATTGATTTCAGAGAGTATAAAACACTTTGCATTACAATTAGTATCAATAAAAAAAAAAATTCAAAAAATACACTCTCTTTAGTCAGAATTGAGGAGATTTTTTTTAAAGTTTAGTATATATTAAAATGCTTTTTGCTGTCAACACATCTCATGTTAGAAATCCAATCACCCTTTAAGTCAGAAATTACAGTGGTTTTATACAAATTATACATGAATTACTTAAATAATATTATTTATAACAAGTTTTTTAGGTACAATTGTGTTCCAATCTTGATACCGTATGCATACGATAATAGTAAAATTCATAGCAGAAAGTGCAACATTACAGGCACATCATATTGTTTCAGAACATATTAAGTGTTGGAAAACATTAATTCTCTTGGTTGGCATGGCACGTTTCATTACTTGTTGCCAGTAATTTTGCTTTTATTTGTCAATTTTATGCACTCAGCTTGACAGAATAATACCTTAAATAAGCATTATCACAACTTATTACTATCTATATTGAGCATTACTTAGTGACATGAAATATTAATGGAACACTCACAATTTCTAACATCTTGTTTCTGACACTTTCTGGTATCCAATCTGCAGTAGAGAGATGAAATCGAATCTCTACTTTCGTATTGACTGAAAAAAAACAAGAGTGTAATCGACACAAATTATTTCTGTGGTACAAAAGTCTACTATCTCATGTGTTCTTTCCCTTGTCAGTTTTATCTGAATATTTCTGAAATCATTTAAATCTAGAATACTCTTCTTACAAACTGCTTAAAAGATATGTGGATCTCCTTTGATAAATACGATTATAATATTTCAATCATACCACCATTTTTCAAGTCCAGTCTTTTTCTCAAATCTACAACATGAATATTTTATTACAAGCAGGGTAGAAAGTAAAGGGCTGAAAAGAAGTATTAAATTAGAATCAACAAATGTGACCAGTGGTCACATGATCCTTTAACTATTTTCCAAATAAACAAATTGGAGCCACTTGACCAGTGTTTCCATTAAAATACTGGGAATAATAAATATGCAGTGAAGAGCTATAATCAATTTCTAGTGGTCAGTTGCTGACCACTTTCTTTCCAATCTATGTTTTGTAAAGAAACAAATGCATTGTCAAGAAATTGTAAATATGCAGTGGTTAGTTATAATCAGTTTCTAGTGACTGTTTACTGGTGTAATTACTGAATGATCAGACCATAGGATCATGTCTCATCCCAAGTCAAAGATGAACAAACTTGAAGTAAAATAAATGTAAGGCTAAAATTGGGCAGAGCACAGGTAGCTTATAATGTAGCTTTATGCTTAATAACAATCAAACATAATAGCAATATTTCAATTACTTGGATAGTTGGAATAATCAAAAATGGTAATAATTTGAAACACTAATTTTAATTAACCTATTAGTTTATGTGACATTACTAGGGGTGTGTATCTCATCACTGTAGTTGATAGAATATGTATCTAGATACTGATGCCACAATACAATAGATATCTAGATACAAAAGTTTTAGCAACGGTTTGTTACAAAGTTTGACAGT